TCTTCCTCTTCCGCCCTGGCACGAGTCGACTTAACTGGCAGTCTCATGCGCCCGCTCGTGTTCGCCGCCGTAGTCTTCGTTGCCGGCCGTCTTCACTGGCGTCGCCTTAGCCGGCGGTCGGTCGCCTTCGCGGGCGGCCGCCTTCGCCAGCGGTGGTCGCCTTCGCCACCGGTGGTCGCCTTTGCCAGCGGTCGTCTTCGCTGGGGGATCGTTTTCGCCAGCGGTCGTCTTCGCCGTGGTCGTTTTCGCCGTCGGTCGCCTTCACCGGCGGGCAGTGGTCGCCATCGTCGCCGTCGTCCTGGGGTCGGGCGGGCGGACCCTAACAGGCGGGTCGGGCAGGCGGGTCGGACGGGCGGACCTAACGGGCGAGTCAGGCGGGGCATCACAGCGAGCGGGCTTGAGACAACGCGAATTGAACAAGCACTCAGGCAGGAGGGTCGGGCGGAACCCTGACGGGCGGCTCGGGCAGGCGGTGCCCTCACGGACGGTTCCCACGGGCGGGATCCAAGCGGCCGGGTCGGGCGGGCGGGACCCTAACGACCGGGCGAAGTTGAACAGACGAAGGCAAGCGCGGCGAAGACGACTGGGCAAAGGCGACCGGGCGAAGGCGACCAGGCGAAGACTATCGCGTGCGAAGACGACTGGTCTTCGACCTGGCGGAGACGACCGGGCGACGACGGCTGGGCGAAGGCGACCGGGGGAAGGTGACCGCGGGCGAAGACGACCGCAGCGAAGACGACCGCGGCGAAGACGACTGCCCCTTCTACCCCTCCTCCTCCATCTCCCCCCCCCCCCTCGCCTCCTCCTCCTCCTCCTCCTCCTCCTCCTCCTCCTCCTCCTCCTCCTCCTCCTCCTCCTCCTCCTCCTCCTCCTCCCCCCCCTCCTCCTTCTCCTCGTCTTTCCCCTTCGCCCCTCCTCATCTCCGTCATCCTCAACCACCCCCTACTCACACTCCCCCCTCATATAAAAGGCACCACGTCTCGTGATCACAAGCATTCTGAGAAGCCACTAAGAGGGTGCAGGAGCCTCACAATAAACCAGCTGATTTCCTCAAAGGCAGATCGGGCAGATCAGAAGTCGGGGTTGAGGGTGAGGGTGGTAGGATCTGGATTTGCTCCTCGTGACAAGCAACCCCTGAGGATGATGATGCTTCCCTTTTTCCTGGACCATCTCCCCACGAGGAGGCACCGGCGAACGCTCGCCGTGCAGAGGGAAGCGAGGCGAGACGGGAAGGCAGCGAGACAGAGAGAGGAGCCCGCAGCCACGCTGGCTAAGGCCGGCCGCTCGAGACTGCGGGGGTGAAGCCGCTTGCGCGGCCATCCTCGAGGGCCTGCGGCCCCCACGGTGCAGGTGGCCCCCACCCGCAGTACATGCGGGCGCCTGAGACGAAGCCAGGGCGAAGAGAAACTCGGGCGAGGACGCCTCGGGAACCTCTGAGATCCCGCGGTTCTGGAGGATGTCTCGGGCGCCGCGGCTTTGTCAGAGTTTTCCAGGAACGCTGCAGAGCGGATTTGTCCTTGTCCTGGCCCCGTCCGACTGCCAGCGAAAAGAAGTGCGAGATGGAGCTCAGGGTAAGTGGGCTGGTCGGCGGTCTCGGTGGCAAGTTGTTCGGCGGGATTGATCCGAAGCAAGCGGCTGCAGTGGAGGCAAAGCGAGCGGAGGCTCTGGATACAGCTGCGGTCGAGGAACACGAACGCAACTGCAGCTGGAGGGAGGGAGGGGAGGGAGGGAGGGAGGAAGGGACATAAAGGGGGGAGAGAGGAGGAGGAGGAGGAGGAGGAGGAGGAGGAGGAGGAGGAGGAGGAGGAGAGGAGGAGGAGGTGGAGGAGGAGGAGGAGGAGGAGGAGGAGGAGGAGGAGGAGGAGGAGGAGGAGGAGGAGGAGGAGGAGGAGGAGGCGGAGGAGGAGGAGGAGGAGGAGGAGGAGGAGAAAAGAGAGGGGAGAGGAGGAGGAGGAGGAGGAGGAGGAGGAGGAGGAGGAGGAGGAGGAGGAGGAGGAGGAGGAAAGGGACGAGGAGGAAGGGGAGGAGGAAATGGTCGCTCAGGCGGCCATGCTGGCATCTTCCCAGCGTGAGCGACGCCAGCCGCGGACCCCGACGCCAGCGGCAGCGCCCACTGAGAAGCTCGAGCTGGCCGAGGCCCCCCAGCAGCTGACAGCGGACTCGGGTTGAACTGGCGGGCTCCAAGCTGGCAAGATCGGTGGCGAAACCTGTCGAAGTCCCAGCAGCAGGCAACCGCGTAGCGCTGCAGGCTGCCCTCGAGACCCTCCGAACGGTGGAACGAACCATTTCGAGAAAGGTGGCCTGTTTGGATGCGTGCCCCGAGAATCCATGGAGCACCGATTTTTTCAAGCGCTCAGATTGTTAGCAAGTAACTGTTGCGCCTTGGTTTTCTTTCCCCGCCTCCTCTGCGTTGGTTAGTTGACTGTGCTCCTGGCCTGCTGCGTCTCCGACGCTGCCCATTGATTTGGGCCGGGAGGACCCACTTCCCAATGGCAGCTCTAGCTGACTCAAATCTGGGCGCCCCTCGTCGCCCTGAGGGGTGGCGGCCAGAAGAAGTGTTACCACCTCGCCCCCTCGGCTCCGGGCGCAAAAGCCGCCACAACCGTCGGGCGCGAGAACCGACTCACTGCCGTGGCGAGCCGCAATCCTGACATCCGCGGGCCTGTTTTTTTGGGGGGGTAAAAAATCCGCGGCCCCAAAGCTCCCGCCCCCCCCCCCCCCAGGTACAGGCTTGCGCCCCGGATCTGTGCTTGATGCTGGGCCAAAGAGCAGCCCCAGGGCCGAAACAAGGAAAGGTCTGAGAACCCGACCTACTCGTACCCCCTCCTCGTCCTTCCTCCTCGTCCTCCTCCTCCTCCTCCTCGCTCGTGCAGGCTTCGGTGCGCCACTGGTCTTAGGTCAGGCATCTCCTTCTACAGGCGGATTTTGGTGGAAGAGTGAAGCACTGTTCCAAACTATTCAAACACAGTCGCAGAAAAGTCAACAAGTCGTCCCCAGACAGACTTATTATTTGACTGTGCTCGATATTTCTCCTGTAGGGAGACAGGCCCGACTCAATACTGGTCCTCGCCCTCCTCCTCCTCCTCCTCCTCCTCCTCCTCCTCCTCCTCCTCCTCACACGTGCCTGCGACCCGAAGGTCTCCACGATCAGCGCCCGAGCTGGAATCGCACCGTTGCGGCCAGCGCGCGAGCTCTGCGCTCGCTGAGTTCGAGGGAGGAGGCGCCTTTCATGGAATTTAGAGAATTATATCCTCCTCCTCCTCCTCCTCCTCCTCCTCCTCCGCCTGCCGCGTGGCCTCGGCGAGTAGGCCCTGGGCCGATTACCTGGAGCAGACGGTGGCGGGCCGGCGCTTCAAGGCCTATCGCCTCGTCGAGCCCAAGCGGGCGCTGCGCTCGATTGGGCTTAGCTTTCTGTCGGGCGTGTCCTCCGACAGGTTGATATTGCACAAGAAATAAAAATATTCAAAACATACTCCAAACTTGTCAAAAACCAATCATAGGACAATCGTCCCCAGACCATTGTTTTACTATGTTTGAATATTCCCTCCTGCAGAGGGGCGTGCCCAAATTAAACTTAGCTCTGAGGCCACCTTCTCCTTCTCCTCCTCCTCTTCCTCCTCCTCATCCTCCTCCTGCTCCTTCTCCTCCTCCTCCTCCTCCTCCTCCTGTTTCTCCTCCTCCTCCTCCTCCTCCTCCTGCGTCTCCCCTTCCTCTTCTTCCTCCTCCTCTCTTCCTCCTCCTCGTCCTCCTCCTCCTCCTGCGTCTCCCCTTCCTCTTCCTCCTCCTCCTCCTCCTCCTCCTCCTCCTTCCCCTTTTCCTCCTCCTCCTCCTCCTGCATCTCGTTCTCCTCTTCCTCCTGCTCCTCCTCCTCCACTTCCCCTGAGCAGGCGAGGCAGCTGCGGCACTACAGCGGGCGGCGCCCGCACGCCTGCGCCTTCCCTTCCAAGATGCCCGTGTCGCGCGCGCGCTCCAGCAGCCGGCCCTTGTGGGTGTCCATGCTGCCAGTGTACGCGATGCGCTCCTGCAGGGGCGAGCAGGGCACCAGACATATGCTCGACCGTCTTCGGCTTCTGGGGGCCCTCGCCGGGCTCCGGGACCGTCAAAAGCGATGCGCGATGAAGAACCGGCCCCAGGGAAAGGGTCCCATGACTGGGATCTGGTGTGTGTGTGTGTGTCTCTGTGTGTATGCGTGCGTGCGTGCGTGCGTGCGTGCGTGCGTGCGTGCGTGCGTGCGTGCGTATGTGCGTGCGTCCGTCCGTCCGTCCGTCCGTGCGTGCGTGCGTGCGTGCGTGCGTGCGTGCGTGCGTGCGTGTGCGTGTGCGTGTGCGTGTGGTTGGTGAGTGTGTGCGTGTGCGTGTGCGTGTGTGCGTGTGCGTGGTGCGTGTGCGTGTGCGTGTGCGTGTGTGCGTGTGCGTGCGCGTGCGCGTGCGCGTGCCGCTGCGCGTGCGCGTGCGCGTGCGCGTGCGCGGTGCGCGTGCAGCGTGCGCGTGCGCGTGCGCGTGCGCGTGCGCGTGCGCGTGCGTGCGCGTGCGAGTGCGCTTTTGCGCGTGGCGTGCGCGTGCGCGATGCGCGTGCGCAGTGGCGCGCGCGTGCGGCGTGCGCGTGCGCTGTGCGCGGCGCGTGCGCTGTGCGCGTGCGTTGCGCGTGCGTGCGTCGCCGTGTGCGTGTGCGTGTGCGTGTGCGTGTGCGTGTGCAGCGTGTGCGTGTGCGTGTGGTGTGCGTATGTGAGGTGCGTGTGCGTGTGCGTGTGCGTCGTGCGTGTGCGTGTTTTGCGTGTGCGTGTGGCGTGTGCTGAGTGTGCGTGTGAGTGTGCGTGATTGCGTGTGCGTGTGCGTGTGCGCGTGTGGTGTGAGGTGCGTGTGCGTGGTGGCGGTAGTGCGTGTGCGTGTGCGTTGTGCGTGTGCGTTGTGCGTGTGCGTGTGCGTGTGTGTGTGTGCGTGTGTGTGTGTGTGCGTTGTGTGTGTGCGTGTGTGTGTGTGTGTGTGTGGCGTGGGCGTGGGCGTGGGCGTGGGCGTGGGCGTGGGCGTGGGCGTGGGCGTGGGCGTGGGCGTGGGCGTGGGCGTGGGCGTGGGCGTGGGCGTGGGCGTGGGCGTGGGCGTGGGCGTGGGTGTGTGTGTGTGTAAGCGTGACTGCGTGCGTGCGTGCGTGCGTGCGTGCGTAAGTGTGTGTGTGTGTGTGTTTGTGTGTGGGTGTGCGCGGTGTGGCGTGTGGAATGCACGGTGAGCGTGTGCGTTGTGGGCGGAGGAGCAGGAGGAGGAGGAGGAGGAGGAGGAGGAGGAGGAAAAGGAGGAAGAGGAGGACCACAGCAAACCAAAGATGCAGAATCGATGCTGCAATACACCCTCCCGTCCCCAGTCCTCTCCTCGCGCGCCCCTGCAAGTCCTCCTGTTCACTACAAGAGGCGCCCCCCTTGAAAGGTCAATGCAGCTGGGCTTGCCACTTTGGCGAGGACGCCGCTTCATAGAAGAGTTGCACTGCTTCCTGTTTTTGGCGCGTAAGCAGTGGCGTGCAGAGTAGTGAACATATCTGTGTTTATATGTATGTCTGCTGATATGTATATAAAATATGTGTGTATATATGTGCATACGTACGTCTGTGTATCTATGTATATCGACGATGGGCCCAACCACATCTTTTTCTCGAGAAAGGACCGCCCCCCCATCCGGGCATCTGCTCAGCACATCTGCACTGGTGGCCATGAGCATCCAGGGCGTCTCCGGCGACAACCCCATGCTGCAGAAAAGCCGCCGTGGATCCGCACCGCGGCGCGTCACTGAAGCGTCGGGGTCTCCAAGCTTGCCGAAGTCCTACGCGAGAACACAGATTTCGAAAAGAGCAGGCTTCCGTCCAGTCAAATCGTTGCACTCAAAAAGCAATGCGCGCGACGCTGGGGCAAGAGCCCAATCTAAAAAACAACCAGTGTTCACTCATTGAAACTGCTACAAGACCTTGGGACGAACGCTTGCGGCGCTCAGACAAGAGCCCCGCTTTGAAAAGGAACAGCCCTCTATCCGTGAAGCTAGTGCAACCGTTTCGAATGACTATGTGGGGCGCTGAGGCGAGAACGCCATTTTGAAAACGGACACTCTTCCATGCCTGAAGGTGCTCCGAATGTTTATGACGAAGGTGCGAGGCGCTGAGAGCCGTATTTCGAGCAACAGGTTCCTGACATTCCTGGAGTTGCTCCAACAAGAATCATGAACAATCGCGGCACTGAAATATGAACCACACTTTTGAAATGACATGTGCTACATCCGTGACGCTGCTGCGAGCGTGTACGTTTGAGGCGTATGTGCGCGGCGCCACGGCGAGAATCGCATCTTGAAAAGGAACCGCCCTTCACCCGTGAAGCTGCTGCAGCCTCTTGGCACGAGTGCGCGCGGCGCGAAGGCGAAAGCCACACTTTGAAAACGGCCCACCCTCCATCCGCGAAGCTGCTGCAAGCTTGCAGAACGAAGGTGCGAGAAGGAGGAGGAGGAGGAGGAGGAGGAGGAGGAGGAGGAGCGATACTGGCCAGCAGGGGGGAGGCGGGCCAAAAGCAACAGCAGCGAGAAGAAGGATAAGATCCAGAGCTCCACAGACCGGCCGGCGACAAGAACAACAAGTTTACATTTACAACCGGGTCAGAGCATTGATTTGCCAACCGCACGCGGCGGGGGGCAGCAGCAACGGCAGAAAGGCAGCAGGCAAGAAGGGGAAGCAAGCAGAGACAGCAGAAGAGGACAGAAGGCAAGAGACAGCAGAGACAGCAGAAGGAAACAAGCAGAGACAGCAAGAGGAGACAAACAGAGACAGCAGAAACAGAAAGGAGCAGGCAAAAGAGGACACAAGGAGAGAAAGCAGAGACGCAAAAGACGACAGCAACAAAGAGACAGCCGGCTACGCCTGGCGGGCCGTCACGGCTAGGTACGCCTCCTCGATCGCGGCAGCCTGGGCGAGCAGGCCAGAGAAACTAGCGCGGCGCCGGCGATGAAGTCGCGAAACTCCCCCATGGTCTCCAGGTCTGCGGCCGCTCCCGGGCTCGGAGCGGTGGCGGCGATCAGGTCCGCCAAAGTTGCCACAGCGTCATCCTCCTTATTCGTTTTGTTGTTTTTGTTTTTCTGTATCTTCTTTTTCTTGGGCTTGTTCTGACGGCCGGCTCCAGTCCCGGAAGCAGCTGGGGCGATGGCCGCGCCAGGCTGAAGGCAGCAGCCGCTCGGAGGGCCCACGGCAGCAACTTCAGGGCGAATCTCATCGGGCACAGCTCCAGGATGTAGTGCGGGTCCAGCGGCAGCAGGTTCATGAAGCCTCTCAGCCGGCTCAGCTGCGGCATCATGGCCCCCATCCGGCACAAGAGCTCCCAACCGAGGGAAGGATGAGACAAGCAGTAAGCTGTAGTCCTCCGCCGCGTGGCCGAAGACCAGCCGGGAGGCGGCCGTAGGCGGGATCGTGTCGATGGTCTGTATCTCTACGCTGACGCACTCATCGCTGATGGTCTACGTGGCGCGACCGTTGACGCGACCACGGCGCAGCCGCCAGGGTGGGACAAATGTTTGAGTCCCCACGGAAACGAGCTCGTCCGCCATGCTGTACCAGTCAGCCGTACCTGTGTGCGGAAGCGCCTGGAGCTCCACGCCATGCGGCATCACCTCGTGGCTGCACCCGGGGGCAGCCGGGCAGCCCTCAGCGAAGCCAGAATGAGCTGCACCTCCAAACGAATCAAAAGGAACGCCCTCATCAGCAGGAGCGAGGCCGAAGGAGTACTCGGTGAATTTGAAGTCGTAATGACTGGTAAGGCCCAGTTCCCCGGTGAGATTGGTAAGGAATTGACGGCATCCCTGAGGTGAGGGTTTTTCGGTTCAGCCCAGGACCGCGTCCAGCTCACGCAAGCGCCGTTTGGTCCAGTTGCCCTAAGTAAGGCTTTTGGAAGCCGCGGCGCATCCCTGGACGTGCTTGTCCAAGAAGGTCGCCAGAATCCCTCAGGTCTCGCGATGCAGTGCAGCCACCAGCGCCTCCGCGTCAGGTCCCATGGGATCGAACGAGGATGGTTCCGCACAAGAATGCACCTCGCAAAGCCCGCCTTGAGCACAATTGGCTTGAGCCCAACTGGCTACGGAAGGAGGAGGAGGAGGAGGAGGAGGAGAAGAAGAAGGAAGGGGGCGAGGAGGCGGCGGCGGCGGCGGTGGAGAGGGGGGAGGAGGCAGCGGCGGATGGGGACAATAAGAGCAAGATCCCCGCACGCTGTGTTTGCGGGCAGTCTTCAGCGCGAGCGCGCGCCGCGCGCACGGGCGGACCCTTGGAGCGTCGATGGTGAGATGCTCGTCGCCGTCCTCCTCCTCCTCCTCCTCCTCCTCCTCCTCCTCCTCCTCCTCCTCCTCCTCCTCCTCCTCCTCCTCCTCCTCCTCCTCCTCCTCCTCCCCCCGACACCGAACCGGCGGACAACGAACGAAGGAACGAGCGACGACTACAGAGGGCACGAAGGCAGCCCAAGGCTGGCCTCGTCCATTTTGCGCCTGGCCTCTTCGACCATGCGGGAGTGCTCTGCGCGCGTCCGCTCCTCTCCAGCGGGCGGCGGGCGACGGGCGGCGGTTGCCGTCGTTGAAGATCGCTGTCGTGGTGGTCGTTTCGTTCGTCATTCTTCGCTCGTCGTTCTGCGAAGATGGGAGCAAAGAGAGGGGGGGAGAGTAGCGAAGGGATGCGAAGAAGGGGTGGGGAGTGGGAGGGAAGGGGAGGAAGGAACACTGCACGGTCTTCTTGTCTGACGGGCAAATTTCCAGACCAGAAGCGCCAGACAGACTAAAATAAACTGGCAACACACGCCAGCCTACAGCGGCCGCGCACCATCACCAGGCCGTGTCCTGGGAAACAGTGGGCCGCGGTGCGATTCTGTCTCAACGTTCTTGGCCCTGCTGGTTCTCCTGGGCCTGGGCCTCTGGAAACCGCTTCCCCAAATCGTAATTGAACCAAGTTACCCTCCTGCTATTTCATTGAGATTGTCCATACTGCCTCCCTACTTTGTCCCCCCGTGTCTGCCACCGACGACCCCCTCCTCCGTCCTCCGTCGCTGTCTCCTCCCTCTCTCGCCCCCACTTTCTCCTTTGAGGGCCTCCTCCGGCATCCCGCATCCCCTCTTCTTCCTCACTTCCTCCTCCTCCTCCTCCTCCTCCTCCTCCTCCTCCTCTTCCCCCTCAGCCTCACCTCCCACCCCTTACCCTGTTTCCCAATCCACCCAAATTCCCAATCACCATCTTCTCTTCTCCTTCTCCGTCCTCTTGCGCGCTCTCCCGTTCGTCCAGAACGTATATTTCCCCTACCTGGGAACTTCTACAAAATTTCCAGATCTACGGAAGCCGAAAAGTACCGATACCACCACTCCCCGGATCTCTCTCGGGGTGTGTTCTGGCCAGGACTTCGAGGCGCCCCTGGCTTCCGATCAAGTTTGGCGCCCCTGGGGCCCTCTGGCCTCGTGAGGGGTGCTCTGGGGACCTTGGGGGCCTCCTTGGAAATCGTGGGGGCACCTTGGGCCAGGGACGCTTCTGGCAGCACCCGAGTCTCAAGTGCCGCGGCCTTCTCAGAGCGTGCCGGAACGCTCTGAGAGCGTTCCGAAACGCTCTGGAACGGATTTATCCTCGCCCCAGCCCCGTTCGATCCTTGCTTCCCCAAACAGCTGTTCCGTGCAAATTCTATATATCATGTGTCTAAGCATTGTCTCCCACTTCTCCCCATTGTCTCCAGTTGTCTTCCATTGCCTCCCGTTGTCGCCTGTGCTCTCCAATCGTCTATCTTTATCCCTATCCGTGCCCTTGTCGCTACCCTTAACTATCTCTGTCCCTGTCCCTATCTCTGTTCCCTTTGTCCCCAGCTGTCTCGCACTGTCCCCTAATCGTCTCCTATTGTTTGCCATTGCCTCCGATGGTCTATCCGGATCGCTATCCGTGTCTGTGTCCGCATCCCTATCTCGATCCCGATCTCTCCGCCTCTATCCCTAATCCGTGTCCGTTCTATCTCTATCCCTACAGCCCAATCCTCATCCCGATCTGCATCCCGATCCCTATATCCCTTTCTCTGCATTTACCCTTAACCCTATGGTTATTCTGCATTGCTCTGCATTTGTCCCTGCGTTTTTTCTCTGAGTTTGTCTGCGTTTCGGCATTTACCATTTTCTCTGCATGTTCCTCTGCGTTTTATCGTTATCCCTATCCCGATCCCCCCATCGTGGCCCTCCATCGTAGCTCCTCATCCTGACCCCCTATCGTGGTCCCCTTCGCTACCGTGTAAAACCATTGAGGGTCTTCTGCCGCAAAATTGTCGTGTCGTCTTCTGGTTCTCCTTCATCGCTTCGACCTTGTCGTCATCTTCGTCGTTCTCCCCGTGGGTGACTGACGACAACCTCCTACTCCCTGATCCTAGTCCACCTCGTCCTCCTTATCATCGCCCTCCTTCTCCTTCACCGCTTCGACCTTGCCGTCCTCGTCGTCGATTTCCCGCGCTCACGACCGACGACTACGACGGCGGCACGACCATGACGGCGACAACGGCATGCGCGTCCTTCTCGCCAGCCAGCAATCTCCGTTCCTCCTCGCGGCGCGCGCGCGCATGCGTGTCTGTCGGTCCGTTGGCGTCTGAGCGGCTGTTGCTAAGATCTCTTGGAGGGAGAAACAATGTAAAGGACCCAGGGAGGCACACGTACATCGACACACGTCTCAGGATTTCTAATCTATTTCCATATTTCCTGGATTCCCCTCTTCCCCTGGGTTCCCTGTATTTCCCTCATGCTCTCACGAAGCTCTCGATTTGTGTGCTTGTGCCTCTTGTTCCTTCATGGCAAACTGTGTGTGTGTATGCACGCGCTTGTGCGTGTGTTGGCGGCCGCCGGACCACCCTCTGAGACGCACCCGCTACCGTTCGGTCGGGCATATCCTCCAACAGGTGGGTTTTGGAAGAACAATGACGAATAGTCAAACATATTCAAACATAGTGGAAAAATCGTCCCCGTATCATTTTATGACTATGTTTGAATATTCCCCCTGTAGAAAGAAAGACATGCACGACTTAACGCTACAGTGACTCCGCCGCATTGCGGCAAGCGTGGCCGCGGAGCCACACGGCGTACTTTCACATGTTCGCTCGCTTCCCGTGGCTCGCCACCCGCGTTTTCCGCCAGTCCGGCTGGCGCACTGCCGCACGGTGAGGGTTTGGGGTGGGAGCCATGAGGAGGACTGGAGGAGGGAGGGGCGGCAGGAGCGAGGGGTGGAAGGGATGGGTCGTCCTCATTCTCCCCCGTCCTCCTCCTTTGCCATCCTGCCCGCTGGCAAGAGCCAGGCCGCGCGCGGAGGCAACCCTTCCGAACCCTGGCTTGAACTGAAAAGCGCGCTGATGCCCTCCTCCTCCTCCTCCTTCTCCTCCTCCTCCTCCTCCTCCTCCTCCTTTTTTTTAAGCACGCCAACGGCCGAAAGCGGGACGCCGACAGGTTCTGGGTCATTACCCCGTCCCGCGCCAGAAGCCGAAAGGGCAGGGTTTCGTCAAACCTCAAACCGTTACCTTCGTCCTCCTCCTCCTCCTCCTCCTCCTCCTCAAACGCCCCCTCCTCCCTTCCTCACCTCCCTTCTCCTGCTCCGCTGTCTCCATCTGGTGAGGTGGGGTGAGGTGCCAGGCCAACCCGGAGTTACACCCCGGGCCACGGTGCGTGGACTTAAAAGTGTCCACGCGTTTACCAACCAATACCTCGAGTTATCAAAGCACGTCGGACCAAAATGCAGACCCCCGAACGAACGAACGAAAGAAGCCGTGCCTCGGATTGCAATGCACAGGCATGCCGGTGCAGCGCGAGGGTGGACGGCAAAGCACCGGCCAGGGGGGGAGGGGAAAGGAGGTGGGGAGGGGGGGATGCAGACCCCCCTTCCTCCGAATTCGAAGTTTACTGGTTGGGGCGGCAGGCCCAAGGCCAGGGACAACACGTGGACGCTTCAACTTTGTGTCTGGGAGGGGGGGGTGCGACGCAATGGCATTTCGCAGTTGTGGTTGTTACGACGTTGCATCGCCTTACCGCCATAGGTGTGGACACTTTTTGCCCGGGCGCCGTCTGGGTTAGATGTGTTCGGTGGCTTTGTAGGCGTCAACGTGCGTGCATTCGTGCGTGCATTCTTGCGTGCATTCGTGCATGTGCCTGCGCTCGCCGCGACATATTGTCAGGTGACGTTGAGGACGTATATGAAGCCACGAGAGATCCGCAGGACCACTGCGGGACAACCCATTGAACAATCCAAGGGGCAACCACAAAGAAGCCCACGGGACAGTCCCCGGAATAACCGTGGGACCACGGGACAGCCAAGGGACAACCCGCAGGGCCACAACAAGAAGGGTCCACGGCCATCTGGCTCAAGCGAAAACTACAGCCGACGCCCGGTTCCACCGCGAAGTCGTGTGAGTTCGTCGTCGTCCTCCTCCTCCTCCTCCTCCTTCCTCCTCCTCCTGCTCCTCCTCTTATCTTGGAGCGGCTTTTCTGCTGAGGCATCAGCCTCTTCCTCCTCCCCGGCCCCTCCACCTCCTCCTGCCGCCTCCTCCCTCCCGCTCCCTTTTAGCCCTGCGGTTACGACTCGTTCCCGCTCAGGCTGTCCGCTCCGCTCCCCCCCGCTCCCTTTTCATCCTCCAGCTCCTCCTCCCTCCCTCCTCCTCCCGCCTCCTCCTCCTGCTCCTCCTCCTCCTCCTCCTCCGCCCGCCTCCTCCTCCCGCATCCTCCCTCGTCCTCCTCGTCCTCCTCCTCCTCCTCCTCCTCATCCCGCCTCCTCCTCTTCCTCCTCCCGCCTCGACTCCTCTGTCCGCCCTCCGAGGTAGCCGCCGAGGAGCGGGGCCACCGCTTGTGCAGGGCGGCCCCGCGCCGCGGAGGGCGGAAGCGCTCGGCGGCAGCCCTCCGCGCCCGCGGTGCGGCAGGCCTGGGAGGGTCCCGGACGGGCTGGGCCACCGCCCTCTGCGGGCAGGTGTCTCTGTCGCAGGGCAGGGCTGAGCCTAAGCGTTGTGTTTCGTTTTGGTTTCCGTTATGTTGCTCGTTTAGCTCTACCTGCTTCCCTGTGACTCCCTGCCAAAACGAAAAACTAAGCACAGCCGAAGTCCAGCAAAACAGCATTTAGGTCCAGCCCTGTTGCACGACAACCCGCAAGATGATGAACACTTTCTGTGGCAACTCATGGGAGCCTCCCATACCATCTTGTCGGCTCCTGCGAGTCGGCGCTGGTCGGCGCTAATCGACGCTGAACCTGCGCTGAATCGACGCTAGTCGACGCTAACCGACGCTGAATCGACGCTATCTCATCGACCCCCAGACGCTAATCGACGCTAAAGACGGAAGTAAGAGGGCATACCAGGCTCCCATGATTTGCGACCGGAAAAACTGCCATCTCCAAACTGCCAGCTTCCCAACTGATCAGAACTGCCAGCTTCCCAGGTGGTGGCATGCAAGCACGTTCCGGAGAGAAGCACGGGGTCGGGGAAGCGGACACGGAGAGCAGATACACGTCAGGCGGAAAAGAACAACTCACTGGCAAAACCGCCCTCTGCGGGCACGTCCGGGCCCGCCGATGCGAGTCGGGGCGGCACGTGCGCGTGCGTGCATGCACAGTGCGGGCAGTTGGCGTTAGAGGTCGCGACCCTGAGATCCTGGCGATGCCACTTTTTCACAACGGGCGTTTTCGCCAAGCTTCGAGCCCAAGGGAAATCTGGCGTGGAGAAATAGCGCGGAAAGGTGGGTCCCAGGGCTCCAGTGGTGATTTTGCTGCGGCGTTGCAATTTTTCCGCGCCGTCAGATCTGCAGGGGGCGGCATAAGGCGACGGAAGAGGTGAAGGTCCAAGTGCGTGCTTCGGCGGCGTCGAGCGCGGCCGCCCAGCAGCAGTCAACGCGGCGAAAAGTAGTCGTTTCCTTATTCGGGGATTCGACATCGGGCGGAAATTGGAGAGGAAGCCCGGGGAGGGATCTGGCTCCAGACCCCTGCTTCACGCGACAGTTTGGAACCGTGCGTCCTGTGGGGGAGGCTTCACCTGCCTGAAACAGGCGCCAAAAACAGCCAAGATCTACTCCATGGGCGTGGGGGGGGAGGTGGGGGGGAGGGGGGGGACGAGGGCCCGCGCCGATCGGCAAAACACTGAATAAGAAAACGATCCCAAAGTTGTTGTGTCCTGTTTTCATGGACGCGCCCATCGGCCTCGAAGGGCCCCCCCGGGGTGTCCGCACTGAGATCCTCGGGGCCCCTGACGTCAGCGGGGGGCCCATGTCTGGTGGCGTGGCGGCGACCCCTCCCAAGGGCAATGGCGACGCTTCTTCTTCGTCTTCGACCTGTGCGGGACGTGGCGGCTGGTCCCTGCACGAGGGGCCAGTGCGCGGAGCGATGGGCCTCTCGGGGGGTCCCCGTGCCGACGGCGGCGGTGCAAGATGATGAGCTGGAGCACTCTGACAACCGAGTGGGCCCATCAGGATTGAGCTGGCTGTCCACATGCCGAACCACTCGGGGGAGGGGCTCTGGATCACCTGGAGTTCTCTGCCGTGCCAGACTCATGGCAGTCACGCCCACGGAGCAGACTGCTACCAGAAATCTGGACCTCACAATGTTGCAATCATAAAGTGCGTATGTGATCGAACCGCTCTTTGATGTCACACGAGGCAGCGACGTCCAGAAACCAGATGGCAACTCACAACAATAAAGGTAATGAGGTCCTCAAGATGCTCGCGAAAACGAAGGCATTTGCACACGAGGTGCTTAAATGAGGGCAACTCGTAACAATGTTTACACGTTTCCCAATATGGCGGTTCGTTTCCGTGGTACCTGCACCACCTCGAAAGATCACTCGATTCTAACCATCTTCAAAAGTCAGCATTTTGTGCCACATGAGATAATACGATTTGCACATGCCTCCGCATCCACCTCGTCCACCTCCTCCGCATCATTCCTGCTCCTCAGCACTTGTTGCAAACATCAGATACGGCCGAAAGCCATCAGTATACGTTGCGCTCGTGGTGCCGCTGTCCAGAACCTCCATGTATCATCAACGAGGGACCAGATCGACGTATGGACACGATAATCCTCCTGCCGAGTGATTTTGATCAAAGCCCCCTCGCTTCTCTGAGAATAGCACAGGTCCAATTCCCAGGACTCTCGCATACTGCTGAAAAGGCATGGTCCAAGAAACTTGACCACACCAGCTTCCCATCCCTGATCTTCTTGAATTCGAGCAATGCTGCTGAGCAGTGTGGGGGAAACCAGATGTGTTAGGCCACCACCTGCCAACAAGGCACCACCATGTAGTCTGCGTGCTCCAAATCGCTTCGGCTAGCCTTTTGACGCTACCCTCTAACTGTGTTGTCGCAATCGGTGACGCCCATGTCCAGAGAGGTCGTACATATACCAACGCCAGCCTCACCTGCACCAGGCAACTGCCTAGCTGGGTCTGAGGTCGTCGATCGCCGTGATCTTTTCCTATCCTTGCCTGGGGATGATGCCCCAAGATGGTCGGTCGGCCGATTGCGGATGCCGAGGTGCTCGATCTCCTTGGGCTCAGCGTCGGCGTCAAGGCCGCATTCACGACGGCTGGTGCTGTGGGGTCGCCTCGTGACGGCGGCGGTGCCGAGTGGCAAGAGGACAGGGGGCGCCGTCACCACGGAGGCGAGCACCGCCTCTTTGGAGGCCAGGGGGCAGACGATTCGCACTCGCGCGCCTCAGATGATCGCGGCCAGGGAAGACGGCGCAGGGTCGGACGAGGTCGATCAGGGCGAAGAAGGCGGCGTCGGGCGCGTCGGGTCCACAAGGGGCCGAGCAGAAGCAAGTGCAAAAAGGCTCTAGCGGTAGTCAACGTGTTGGAGGATGCGCGCGTGGAGCCCTACGGCAGAAAATGCAGGGATGCGATCGCTGGGCCGGCCGTGCCAGCGCACGTGCACGGTCGCACGAGGTGGAGGTGGAGCCGCAAGACGCGAGCCAGCGCCAGCGAAAACGAACGTCCAGGATCTCGAACAGAAACACAGAACCCTCCCAACAAGAGTCTCCATAAACGCACACCTCCCTCCCCCTCTCAGTTCTCCGCCCATCGTCCCTATTTCTCGCCCCCTCCTCCCCAGACGTCCGCCCCCTCCTCCTTCCTTCGCGCCCCCACTCAATTCTCCCCTCTCCTTCCGCCCCCTCCTCCCTCTTTCCTTCTCGCCCCCTCCTTCCTCCCCATCCTCATCCAAGTCCTCCGCCTCCTCCTCCTCCTCCTGCCCTTCCCGCCCCTCCTCCCCAGACATCCGACATCGCTTGTGTTTCACAATGTGGCTCCCAAGAGGTATGGACCCTTTCCCGCGAACCAGTCTCTCGTCCTAGGTCGTCCTTGACGAATGTCAGGGTCCCCCCTAGAAGAGAAACAAATGAATAAACATACTGTCTCGGAGGTTCGCAATGAATTCTTGGATCGGCGCTGGACCCCTCTCCCTGGCGCGCGCGCCAGGGGCGGCACGAGGCGCCGCCAGGGGGCCCAACGCTGATCCAAGAAACCCGTGCGGAGCTCAGAGAAACCCGCGCGGCGCTCAGAGAAATGTGTTCTTCTAGCTACGGTTGGCGAGGACGGTACTCTGGCGTGGGAAGCTGACGAGAGTAAGATCTTACACTTGGTACGCGACGCCGTGGAGGAGGAGATTGAGGAGGACTTGTAGGAGCTTCGGCCGGAGGCGGCCCAAGACAACAGCCTTAGAAAACGTATTCAGACGTGCACGAAAAATGTGCAGAGCATCCGCGAGGAAGATCGACACGAGGATTTTCAAAGCGAACTTTCGAGTTTGATGTAAACATTTTGTTCATTACAGAAACATGGCGACAGGACAGGGAGGAAGTTGTGGAAACCAGCAATGGTGACTCTATATTTCTCTCAGGTGGTTCGTCACACCATGGTGTCGGCACTGCTGTACCGCCCAAGTTCCGGAAGCGAATTTCAAATATGCAATTACATACTTTCAATCCACGGTGTTGTGCACTGAATTTCCTCTTCGCGGGGAAGGTTTTCAGGACGATTGCTGTCTATGTTCCGACCTCTTGGAGCGACGACGACGACGACGCGTAAGCTGTATACGACCTTTCGCTTCTTCTGGAAGTGTACGGGAGGGCTGGTAAGTTGGCAGTTATCGGTGGCGACTTCAATGCGTGTGTCGGTGCACTCACGACTGGAGATGATGAGGCATTAATGCTGCTGGCAGTGGCATCCGCAACGACCAGGGACGATTGCTGGTGCAATGGCTTCTCCAACACGGGCTTTCGATCTACAGCCGCCTTGGGCCAATACCTCCTGCGATTTTTTGGACATGCAAGCATAAATTCGACGGCGCTCTTGTCCAACTGGATCACATCGTCGCCGACTCTAGCCTCGCCCATGTTACATCCAAGACCGATCAAGCAATCGGCGTCGGACTGGATCATCGAACAGTGCACTGCGAGCTTTCCTTCATTGGTCGACGTGCCAATCACAAGCGGAAAAAACAAGAACATGAAGGGGTGGCGGCCCACTCTGGACGTCCGCGGAGATCCGTCGAAGTTTTGGAGAGCATTGAGCGACCCAACTTTACTTTCACTGGTCTCGTCGTTCCGCTGCGCGGAGAACATGTTGTACAAAGCGGGGTCCAAACACGGGAGCACTTGTTCGAAGACATTTCGATTCCAACCCTCTCCTGCTCTCACGTCTTTGAAGCTAGCTCGACGCCGTGCGGGTGGACAGGAAGAGAGAAAAGACCTTAGTTTCAAGATCCGCCGTGCGATGCGGAAAGAAAGGCGCCTTTGGCAATCTGCGCAGATTTCTGACCACATTGGCCAGTCGTCGAAATGGAAAGCATTACGGCAGATGGTGAACACTTCCTCGGGCACGAAGAGCGCAGCTCAACCGAGTCCGCAGGACTTTGCATTGGCCATGCGTGAGATCGTCAGTGGCACTTACCAACGCCCACCGGCGAGTTCCTCCATTACCGAGCCTAGTTTTGACGAGGACGAGCTGGACATCGCCATTGCCCAGGTGAAAAACAAGGCTGCAAATACGAAAAGACTCGTCGCAGAGCACTTGCATCATAGCCCGCCGCTCTTCCGCACCACTGTCTTGAGGTTGTGCAACCCGGTGCTCACGCACTGCATCGTCCTGGACGAGTGGAAGCGTACAGTTGTCAAGATGCTGGAGAAAATGGCCAGTGCCAAAACAGTTTCGGATTTCAGGCCCATTGCATGTTTGCGGCTGTTCTGCAAGTTGTTACCATACCTGGTTTGGGGCAGGACTGAAGATGCCATGGAACATGCGCAGCCAGAAGAGCAACATGGCTTCTGGTCTGGCCGTCGCCTCGGGGAGCATGTTGTTACTGCCGACATTGTCTTCCAGAAAACGCTTGCCGTAGGAATACCAATTGGGATCATCTGCTTGGATTTGTCGAAAGCGTTTGACAAAGTAGTATGGGACCCACTATGGCAAGGACTCCTTAATCATGGAGTGTCCGAGCATAGGGCATGGCCCAATCGACAACTCTATGCAGATCAAGTTGGTGCCATTGCGGGCAAGAGCACCCACAGTGACGAATCCCTGATTTCCGCAGTCGTCCACCAAGGACGAGTACTGAGTGCAAAACTGTTCACGTCCGCCATGGAGTGGGCAATGTCGCGCGGGAAGCAGAAAGTTTGATATCTGCGAATAGATCTTGGAGATGGCGGAAAGCGTTTGACGAACTTGCGATTCGCAGACGTCTTGCTTCTTTCCGCATATTTGGAAAAGGAGGTGTGCTTCTCACTTGACACGCTCGTATTGGAGCTGCTGAAGGTCGGGCTTGTTCTTAACGCCAAGAAGACCAAGGCATTGACCACTATGGCACAAGCTCCCTCCACGATCCGCACGCTGGAAGGGTTGACAATGGACGTGATCCTCAAAGACTCGGCTCATAATGGTTGGGTTGCACGCTGTCCACAAGGGGGGGGGCGGACTCCCGCATTTTGGATCTGAATTGCCACGTGCAAGGTGCAGCCAAGGCATTTTATGCGAATCGCCGTATTCTGTGCGACAAGCGAGCCTCCATCACGCAGAGATTGAAATTATTCAATTCCGTCGTAACGGCATTGGCGTGTTTTGCAAGAGAACGTCGCCCGATATATGTAGAAGACTTGAAATCAATGGCTATCGAATTTCGACGCCTGCTCAGACAGATCGTTGGACCACATCTGGGCGTTGATCGGGATGCACCGTGGCATGATGTACTGCATGTTTGGCACGAGCGTGCATGCAACTTCATCGCGCGTGCTGGTATTCGCATATGGGCAGAACAATGCGTTCACCAGCATTGGTCGTTTACACAATCTGTTCAGCAGCTACCGGAGACGAGATACGTCGTGAGAGTTCTGAATTGGTCACCGCGCGGTCGTCGCGGAGCAGGGCGGCCGACTCTCACGTGGAAGAGTAAACTGGAAACTTTCGGCCGCGTGATAGGCTCTCAATGGCGTTTCTGAACTCCAGATGCTTTTATAAAAGACGAGCCACGGACTTTCAGATTTTTTGCTGCCATTCTCAATAAACACGCCATGTGAATGAGTCCCCCCCCCTTTTAGACGCACGTACTGCTTTCCTTGGATCGTGGCGCGCGCGTGTATAGAACGCTGCCGACTGCCACCGCCTGCGCCCTTCATGGGCTCGCCTTCCGGCGCACGGGCTTGACCTTGACCTTGACCTTGCAGTTTGTTCGTGGACGAACCCCCCTCCCCTCACGGCGACCTGGCGATCTCCATGACAGTGGACCACCACATTCCCCGGCGATTTCCTCCGTTGGGGTGGGTGCGTGCCGGAAGTAAGTTCAATGCATTTCCCCGCGGGGCGCGCCGCCCAAACAGTGGGGGGGGGTCTGATAAGTTCCAAGCGGGTTTCCCCGGGCATTGGCCGAAGGGGGGTTGGGTGACGTATATGCGTATATGGCGGATTCCAGAAACCCTGAACCTAAAAATGTTGTCACCTCTTGGAGGGCAACTTTGTACTTCCGCCGCCTTCCGCCGTCTTCCGCCAGCGGAGGCGGCCTCGTTTTTCTTCCGCCGACCCGTGCGGTAGAGATGCCAACTCCTTCGATCCTCGAAGGCGAAGCCCTTTCTGGAGCGCCCCATCTGCGTACATGGGGTTGTTCCTCTTATCCTACCTCGTCCCTCCTTCCCTTCCCTCCCCATCCGGAGGAGGAGGAGGAGGAAGAGGAGAAGGAGGAGGAGGAGCGGGGGGGGGGGAGAGGAGGAGGGGGAGGAGGAGGAGGAGGAGGAGGAGGAGGAGGAGGAGGAGGAGGAGGAGGAGAAGGAGGAGAAGGAGGAGGAGGAGGACTTGGGAGGATTGTTCCCCTTCCTTGTCCTCCCTCGTCCCTCCCTCCCTCCCCGCCCCGGCCGGAGCTCGTCCTCCAGCTGCTGCCTGACCTCCTCCACGCGCCGGCGGTGCTCGGCGACGGTGCGCTCGTTCTCGCCCTCGGCGGGGGCGGCGACGAGCGAGGAGCGACGACCACGACGACGCACGACGACGCACGACGCACGACGACGACGAATCGTGCCACCAAGAGGAGCGCTGGCCAGGGAGGCGGGGGGAAGGCGGGGGCAGTTCTGGCCCCGCCGAGCCTCGGCCTCGCGCAGGACCCCCCGGCCCAGAGCCTGAGGCACGGCCCGACAGCCTGAGCCCCCTCCTGAGCGCAGAGCGGTCCTCATTCCAGCGTCTTGACTATAAGACCACCACCACCACGACGACGACGACGACGACGGCGACGACCACGCCGATGACGACGTCAAGGCGGATGACGACGATAAAGGCAAGGACGATTCCGTTCAGGGGGGAATGGGGTGAGGAGGGAGGAAATGGAGGGAAGGAGGGGAGAGGGAGGCGAGGGCTGGGGAGAGGGAGCGGGCGGGATGGAGGGAGGGAGGGATGATGGGAAGGATAAAGGGGAGCACGACCAGGGGGGGGAGGGGGGGAGAAATAGGATCACGAGGGGGGGAAATGAGGCAAGGACCGCTCCCCCACTGTGCCTGAGAGGCAAACTCGGGGATGATGAGGATGCGTTGCGTCGCAACTTGCGTGTCGAAGCAAACGGAAAACGGATACCGCTCTTGGGGGTGGAGCGCGAGGAGGAGGGGATGAGGTGGAAAAGAAGGTGCGAAAGGAATGAAGGGAGGAGGGAGAGGAAGAGGACGATCAGGCGCAGGGCCCTCCTGACATATGCATCTGAGTTCAGAGGCCGGGCCAGAAACGCACGTCACGACAACGACGCAGCGTCAGGACACCCGCATCTGGCCAGTAGGAGGGGCATGATAAGGGAACCATCGCGATGACGCGACAGCGCTTGCCTGGTAAAAGTGGGCGACGCCAATTTAAGCATCGAGACAACACCGAAACGTCGGTTCAACAGGGCTCATCGAAGCACGCCGCCTGGGCATAGAACAGCTGCAGCGGAGCGCAGTCAGGTGGCGTTCCTGGAGGGCCTCGGGGCACGTGTCACGGTCGGTGGCCACATGTGCATACGGAGCAGCTTGCCGGACGGCACCTCAAGCCTCAGACCTTCCCCCGCGGTCGGCCGCAGCCACTCCTCTTGGAGACCTCGCGGTCACTGGCTGGGGCCCGGGCGAGCGAGCTGTGGCAGGCGGCAGGCGCCACGGCACATCCGCTGACCAGGATGGTAGCCCTCTCTGGGGCCTCCAGAACATACGCAAAGCCGCAGGATTTACAATGCTTTTTCCAAGCATCCTGTTGTGTTGGGTCCTCGTTTTGAAGAGACAACGCCCCGCGTTCACTCCTCCTTCCTGCGGGACGGGGAAATGACCACAGCCACTGCTTCTTGTGTGCGCCGCCGTCCAGCCGGCCGAAAAAGAAGCAGTGGTTGTGGTCAATTCCCTGGTGCCAAGCTTAACGAAAATGACCACAACCACTGCTTTGTTTCTGCTGGCTGGAAGGCGGCAACAGAAGAAAAGCAGTGGCTGTGGTCGTTTTCACGCCCCGTACTTCCTCCTCCTCCCACTCCTCCCTCCTCCCATCATCATCACCAATTTCGGTGCACCCCTCGCACGTTTCGTGGCCCCGTAGGGAGCTCCACCGAAGGCCCCAGTGGCTGCGTTCGCTTTTGCGGCGCACACTTCTCGCACGTTTTGTGGCCCATAGAGAGCTCCACCGAAGGCCACAGTGGCTGCGCTCGCTTTTGCGGCGCATGCGGTTCCACCCCACATTTCGGCACACCCCTCACACGTTTCGCGGTCCCACAAGGAGCTCCACCGAAGGCCCCAGTGGCTGCGTTCGCTTTTGCGGCGCATGCGGTTCCACCCCCGAATTTCGGCACACCCCTCACACGCTTCGTGGCCGCATAGGGAGCTCCACCGAAGGCCCCCGTGGCTGCGTTCGCTTTTGCGGCGCATGCGGTTCTACCCCCCATTTCGGCACACCCCTCGCACGTTCCGTGGCCCCATAGGGAGCTCCACCGAAGGTCCCAGCGGCTGCGTTCGCTCTTGCGGCACATGCGGTACCAGCCACCATTTCGGCGCACCCCTCGCACGCTTCGTGGCCCTGTACGGAGCTCCACCGAAGGCCCCAGTGGCTGCGTTCGCACGCGGTTCCACCCCCCAATCTCGGCACACCCCTCGCACGTTTCGTGGCCCCGCAGGGAGCTCCACCGAAGGCCACAGTGGCTGCGCTCGCTTTTGCGGTGCATGCAGTTCCACCCCACATTTCGGCACACCCCTCACACGTTTCGCGGTCCCACAAGGAGCTCCACCGAAGGCCCCAGTGGCTGCGTTCGCTTTTGCGGCGCATGCGGTTCCACCCCCGAATTTCGGCACACCCCTCACACGCTTCGTGGCCGCATAGGGAGCTCCACCGAAGGCCCCCGTGGCTGCGTTCGCTTTTGCGGCGCATGCGGTTCTACCCCCCATTTCGGCACACCCCTCGCACGTTCCGTGGCCCCATAGGGAGCTCCACCGAAGGTCCCAGCGGCTGCGTTCGCTCTTGCGGCACATGCGGTACCAGCCCCCATTTCGGCGCACCCCTCGCACGCTTCGTGGCCCTGTAGGGAGCTCCACCGAAGGCCCCAGTGGCTGCGTTCGCACGCGGTTCCACCCCCCAATTTCAGCACACCCCTCGCACGTTTCGTGGCCCCGTAGGGAGCTCCACCGAAGGCCCCAGTGGCTGCGTTCGCACGCGGTCCCACCCCCCAATCTCGGCACACTCCTCGCACGTTTCGTGGCCCCGCAGGGAACTCCACCGAAGGCCCCAGTGGCTGCGTTCGCATTCGGTCCCACCGCCCAATCTCGGCACACCCCTCGCACGTTTCGTGGTCTGAGGCGGCACCGCCGAAGGCCGCAGCGGCAGATTCCGCATGCCGGCGCCGACCAATTTCGGCACACCCCTCAGTCGTTTCGTGGCCCTGTGGGGAGCTCCACCGACAGCGCGGGCGGCAGGCTTCGCGTGGCGGCCTCGGGCCGACTTCGGCACACCCCTCACATCGTGACAACAGTCGGGACGTCCATCGGGACAACCGCGGGACAACCGCGGGACATCCACGGGACCACCACGGGACTCTCGCGGGGCAACCTCAGGCCCAATCCGCCAACCCGGCAGCAGGAGAGTCCGACTTCGCCCAAGCAACGGCGGGATCACTCCTCTCGCCCGCGCACGCAGCTTCGCCTCGGCCGCACGGCACGAAACCGACACCGATTTCCCCGTGGGGAGGGTCCGGTTCATGTCGATCGCCATGATCGTTCGCCTTTGGCTGGCGGGCGAGATCACCATTGTTGGCCGAGTGTCCACTCTGAGCTAAGAATGTGGCCATCGCTCAGGCCAGAGTTGCACAGCATTCTCAGTCACGGTTGCTGCCTGCGTGAAGCGCTCAGGCGAGAGCAGAGCTCGCATTCTGAGCTCGGAGCCTGGCCCGTGCCGAGGCGAGATCGCCAGCCCGAGCAAACAACGAGCCAGGCGAGCGGCGGCTGCTTAGGCGAGGGAACACGCACGAGCCAATGCAAGCTGGCGATGACGGGGCGAGGGCTCCGCTCGAAGAGGCGTCGTGGCAGGTCCTCGGGCGAGAGCCCCTGTCTGAGCGGGGGTCGAGGCCCGAGGTGGGGTTCCGAGTTGGGGCGCTGCTGAAGGGGCCCCAGGACACACAAAGAAATACACACAAATAAAACTATTCCCTATATTTTCCCATATTTTTTTCGTTCTTGTCTTCCCCCCCACTTCCCATGTTTTTGCATATTTTCCTGGGAGTCGACGATTAATTGTGTCTGTGTGTTTCTTTCCCTCCTGAGCTGCTCCGATCTGGGGAGCGTGGCCCGCACTGGGGCGAGAGCACAGCTCTGGGCCACGAGAAATCGGGTCCGCGCTGGCGCAAGAGCAGCTTACTTTTTCCACGAGGCCAAAAGTGCTTGAGATAAAAAATGCCCACCTGCCACACACCTCCGTGCGTGCCGGTCTGGATGGGAACGAGGCTGCGCAACAGCCCGCCTGCAAGAGCGGGAGCGCGCACGAGCAAAAGGGGCGAGGGCCCAGCGAAGCCGCAGAGCTCGGTGGCGACGGGCGATCAAGGGAGAATGGGAGAGGGGGGCAGGGAAACACGTGCAGGGGGGGGAGAGGGAGGCGTGACGAAGGGGAGGGGAGGCGAGGAGGCGGTGCGACGGGGCGCCAGGGAAGACGAGCGGCTCTGCGGGGCCGCCCTTCTTTGAGGGCGGTGCGCACAAGTGCGACGGCCACGGGCGCCTCGAGAGGTCAGCACCCCGGAGGGCTGCCGGCTGGTTTTCGGAATTCGTCCGACGAGCCGCCGTCGGGCGCTGAGGCATGAAAAAGAGAGCCCTCATCTGATTAGGCATAAATCGGCGGTGGACAGACCTCCCTTTAGTAAAGCTCCCCTTAGTGGAAGCGGGCTGGGACCGAAACCGACGGACCTGGACCCGCCAAAAAATGACGGCCGCGACGCCCTCTCGCGAACCGAAAACGGCCAATTCCTTAATCGACGTGTCAGGGTAGGAGGTCTATCCACCTCCGAATAAAAGGACCCCAAACCCTTTGGGAAGCGACCTAAGCGAAAAGGGTCAGAAACAGTAGGGGCAAGGGGGGTCTTTTCGACAGGTATGTCGGACCAAACCGCCCGGGTTGATTGTCCCTCGTGCAAGGACGGGGCCCTCAGTGAGGCCACGTCTTCACTGTGTTATTAGGGTTTGGGGTTCTTTTGCCTTCGATGAGCACCCTCCTCACTACGGAGTTGTTCCGAAATAGGCCTCACCTGGGCGTTGGTGGCCTTGGCGGCGCGGCGGAGGAGAACATCAAAATTGGCCCAATGACCGAACGGCCGCCCGAACCTCGAGGAAGGCCTCGCCTCAACCGGCCCCTCACCACAAAGGTCAGAAGACACGGAAGGCCGAACCCCAGGAAATGCCTGGGCAACGGACGCGCTGAGGGCTGCCAGCTGAGAAATCCGCCGACCCCTCGTGGGCCTCTGGGC